CTGTCCATGCGATTCTCCAGGCAAGGGGACTGGAGTGGGTGGCCATTTTCTTCCTTCAGGGGATCTTCCCGACCCAGGGATTGAACCCTTGTGTCTTATGATCTTATGTCTCCTGTATTGGCAGGCAGGTTCTTTACCACTAGCGCCACCTGGGAAGCCCTTTAGCCAAGAAGTGTAGCCAAGAATAAAATGAAATTCATGATCGTGAAAAATTAGGCAAAATTGTCAACTGTAGAAGAATGTTTGGATAAATTATATATATTAACCTGACAGATTATCATATGATTATTAAGAATAATGTCACATGGAAAAAAATGTATGAGCTGAGAGACTAAATTGTCCAAATATAGTCATTCCAACGATGTAAAATGTGCATTAGCGTGAGTGCAAAGACTAGAGGAAAATCTGGGGAATGAAGGCAGCTCTTTTAGAAGGATGGAGGTAATATGAGTGACATGATTTTTTCTGTTGTTGTTGTTTTTCAGATGTTGCTGTAATAAACCTTTAATAATTAAAAAGGATGTTTTAGAGAAACTACCTTAACGCCCGGTCATCAGCACCATTCAAATTTAACAAACAATAATAATAGGAAAGAACAAGGAAGTGACCTGCCAGCTCCCACGAGGGTGGGCGAGGGCAGAGTTTTTCCTGGCAGACTTCCTGTGTGCCAGGCGGGGACTCAGGGGAACTGCAAAGGACAGCAGGCACACTAAGATTGAAGAGCTGCAAAAGCACGCAGCAGGCCCCCAGCACAGCATACGTATTTACACCTAGTAAATGTCTGTTTTATTTCCTCCCATTTTACTGAGATATTAACACACAGCACTATGTCAGTTGGTAGTGTACAATATAATTATTTCATTTCTGTGCATCATCAAGTGATGACCACAGAAGGTTTAGTGAAGGGGAAATGTCAGTTTAAAGAAAGTGGAAATCTACAGAGCTCTGGACATGAAGGTCTAACATTTGAGGGTTTTCTCCATCACAGGATCAGGCCAGGAGTCTTCACTCTGAACCAGCCTGCAGGGACAGCGCTGACGACAAGGTGATGGCTCCAGAGAAGGCAGACCACTCATTGGGGGCCGGGGGCTCAGGGACCTTGACAGAACGTAGGCATCCTGTGACCTCGGTCCCTGAATTGCTGAAGGCCATCCTGAGGAAATCCAGCCTTGGGGCCCCCACGCTCAGGTCGCAGCCAGGGCCCCCTGTGGCGTCTTCATGGGCTTGGCTCACTGTTAAGGTGATTACAGGAGGCACTTTGCACACACCTGGCATGAAGCCATGCACCCTGCTACGCTTCCTAAAGCACGTGTGCAAAGAAGGGCGGTGGGGAGACTCCTCCCCAGTCTTGGCTTCACTGTCACAGGATGTGTGTGTTGGAGGCCTCCTGGCTCCCCCTATAAGCCTCCCCTTCCTGCCCCCTAAGATGAAGGGCTATGCTGCGGCTCCTCTGCACTACGTGGCCCCTTTCACAATGCCCTCACCTCCCACCCGGGCTCTGCACGTAGGTCTGCACACTTCTCCAGAGCCTCTTGAAGGTGAAAGAGGAGAGTGAAAAAGCTGGCTTAAAACTCAACATTCAAAAAACTAAGGTCATGGCATCCAGTCCCATCACTTCCTGGCAAATAGATGGGGAATAAAAGGAAACAGTGACAGAGTTTATTTTTTGGGGCCCCAAAATTACTGTGGACAGTGACTGCAGCCATGAAATTAAAAGACGCTTCCTCCTTAGAAAAAAAGCTATGACCAAACTAGACAGCATATTAAAAAGCAGAGACATTACTTTGCCCACACAGGTCCATCTAGTCAAAGCTATGGTTTTTCCAGTAGTCATGTATGGATGTAAGAGTTGGACTATAAAGAAAGCTGATCACCGAAGAATTGATGCTTTTGAACTGTGGTGTTGGAGAAGACTCTTGAGAGTCCCTTGGACTGCAAGGAGATCCAACTAGTCCATCCTAAAGGAGATCAGTCCTGAATATTCATTGGAAGGACTGATGCTAAAGCTGAAATGCCAATACTTTGGGCACATGATGCGAAGAGCTGACTCATTGGAAAAGACCATGATGCTGGGAAAGATTGAAGGCAGGACGAGAAGGGGACAACAGAGGATGAGATGGTTGGATGGCATCACTGACTCAATGGACATGAATTTGAGCAAACTCCCGGAGATAGTGAAGGACAGGGAAGCCTGGCATACTGCAGTCCATGGGGTCACAAAGAATCAGACAGGACTGAGTAACTGAACGACAACAATGTTTTTCAACCCTTTTATTTTGGAATTTTCAAATGTACACAGCAGCAGAGGGGAGAGTACACGAATGCCCAGGCGGCGGCCACCCAGCTGCAGCAGCTCAGCCACGGCTGTCCCCACCCGCCCCCACCCACGTGTGCACGGATGCACCGTCACACACACGCGTGCACGTGCTGAGGAGCTGTGTGTAGACGCTCACAGGGTTCCCGGAGCACACGATGAGCAAGTGTCCCAGCCATGAGAACCAGGCCTGCCTGCTCCAAGTCCCGGAGGCTGTGGCTGGACCCCCGGCAGGGCCGCCTCGCGGCTCAGGTGGTAAAGTTATTTGGCTGTGAGCTGCATCGCTCTGAGCACAGCACGCCGTCACACCCTTCCCGACCCGGACAAAACAAAGAGACGCACCCTATCAAGTCGCCTACTTGGCTGACCTGCGCACCTGCTCACCCTCCGGGAAGCTTCCTTCATGGGTATTTTTTCTCCCCTACACAAAGGGCGCCCACAGAGTAAACGGGGAATGACGAAAACAGGAAAGCCTGGTCCTGCAGGGGCTGAGCAGCTGTGGCCCCCTGAACACAGGGCTCAGACTCGAAACTGGGACCCCAGAGGATACAAGCAAAGCCACAGGCCCTGCGTCCACAGGTCACAGTGGGGAGACCCAGTGGGGAGGGTAAACCGCAGCGACCGGGAGGAGCTGATGGCCCGTGTGGGTTTTGTAATGGACAGGGACAAATATGTTTATCTTCAGCGGTCACAAATCATTTCCCAGCTGTGAGCTCTGGCATCCAGCTCGGGGCAGTAGCAGGGTCTCGGGGCACACCCCTCCCTCACCCCTCCGACAGCCAAACACCCCTGCCCCCGAGATACACTGTCTGAAGAAAACAAGTTATAGCAACAAGATCTTTTAATAGTCAATATTTCAAGACACAGAAAAGCTGTGTTTTTTTCAAGCCCAATAACCCATTCAGAGATTTATCAGGACCAATGCCTTATCCAGATTGGGCTTCCCTGATGGCTCAGCCAGTAAAGAATCTGCCTGCGGTGCAGGAGACCTGTCGATCCCTGGGTCGGGAAGATCCCCTGGAGAAGAGAATTGCTACCTACTCCAGTATTCTTGCCTGCAGAATCCGATGAACAGAGGAGCCTGGCAGGCTGCAGTCCACAGGGTTGCAGAGTCGGACACTAGTGAGGACTAACACGTTCACACTTTCACACACCCAGATCACATGGCTTCTTCCAATAGACTCCCTCATCCAGATACACTGAGCAGGAACACAGGGAACTGAGCATGTCTCCAGGACCACCCCCCACCCCCCGGACTGCGCATGACAGGGGAGGGTACCAGGAGGCAGGTGGACCGCAGCCTTCCTGGATTGAGCCAGTGTCTGAGAATCGCAGAGTCAGCTCCTCCAGGCACAGAACTGAGGCACACAGGTGACTACCAGGTTCTGACATCACAGAAGAGTTTAGAGGCCCAGTCTCTTATTTCGAATCTGGCCTTGCCAAGGCCAGCCAGACACACACCAGCGCTCAGTTCCCCTGCCACCAGCACTGTCTCCAGGCAGCCTCTGTCTCGCCCTGCAACTGGGATCACGCTCTGTGCTCATGTGCCTCTTTGCTGGGAGCTTCATGTGAATGACAGCCAAACCTGCATCTCCACTTGGGCCCACTGTATTTCCCGTGCATTTCGCACTGAAGTGGTCCAGCGCTCAGGACATGACATTATGAGGTGGGGGCAGCCACAGCCATCTGTACGTGAAGAGGGAAGCTTCCTAAGGTTTAAGTGACCTGCCATGCTGCTCGGCTTGTAAACTGCCATTAGGTATCTCCACTGGGATGTCCCCAGCATCCCATGCATCCCACATCCTCCTCCCCCCACCTCCCGCTGCCCCCACACCAGCTGTCTTCCTGCCCTCACCATGGCGACCCTGCTCCTGGCCACCACTGTCCACGTTCAGTCCCCGCTCGGTCCCTGGCACTTCCTGCCACAGCTTCTCCCTTTGCAGCTGTTTACCCACAAACCCCCACACAAGATGCCCCAAACCAAGTGTGAACAAGTCCTCCTCCGCACAAGGCCCTGTGATGGCTCCCCACCGCCTGGGGAATAAAACTCAGGTTCAACCTCCCACTTCAGACTCCACCATGACCTTCTATAGTCCATCTCGCTTTAGGCTCCAGCACCTGCTTCTAGGGCTCTGAGCACCTCACAGATGACCTGGCCTTCCTGCTCATGCGCCTTCTGTGCCTCAGATACCCACAGTGCCTGGGAATTCCAGTTTCCCTGAAGCTTGGGCCTACCTCCTCCCAGGAAGCCCTCCTTGCCTCCATCACAGGCTCAGGCAGAAACACCTGGAATGCTCCACCCCACATGCATAAAGACATAATCATCTCCATCCAACTACAAACGCCTAGATCTCTCAGTGGCTGAGTGCCTGGCACGAGGTCTGTATTCGGTATATGCTCAGATGTCTTAGTACTCAGTGCCCCGATTGTCCAGGCCCAGATGTCATCCTAGGCTCAGCTGTGAGGGGTGGGGTGGGGGGGGACGCTGAATCCTGACCATTATCATCCCCACAATCTCTCTGAAATCCTGTTTGCATCTGCCTCCACACCACCCCCCCAGGCTCGGGCCCTCATCACTCCCGGGACTATGAGGCTCGCTTCCTTCCTCCAACATCCCCTTGTACAATTACACTTCCTGTCTGGTTCCCGAGTTAGGCTACTGAAGCACACATCTGACGTGAGTTCCATGCCCGAGGACCCTCGGCAGCTTCTCCCGCCCACAGGAGCTTCCGAGGCCCTGCACGCCCTCTCGCCACCTCCCCGTGCAAGCCTGCCTACTGCTCCCCACACGACGGCCCAGTACTGGTGTGCTGGCCAGCTCGATGCCCTGCTGGGAGCATCCCGAGCCCACCTCCCAAGGCTCATTTCAGAGGGCTGCCCCTGGGAGGAGTCAGTGCGCACGCCCCCTCCTCCACGCAGGACTCAGGCCTGCCCCATCCAGTGCTCGACCGCGCCACCAACACTGCTGGTGGCTCCGCCCGCGCAGTGGCCGTCCTGCAGGTGACCAGGCTGGGCCCTGGCCGGTCAGTTAGACCCTCACTCGCCACAGCTGGCTGAGGCCTCGCGCTGAGGGCGACGGTGGGCACCCTCGGAGTCCTAGGGGCTGGCGCCCGCGACCCCATTACTCCCCAGAGCAACGCGGCTTCCACTCCATGGCGCAAACGCGCATCTCGGACGGCTCCCCGCGCCTTGGACGCTCCTTCGCTGCCCTACGTAGGCCTCACGCAGCCCCCACGCACGGCGCACGCAGCCCCACGTACGCCCCTCGCAGCCCCACGCACAGCGTACGCATGCGCAGTCCCCGATCGGCATGAGCCCAAGCCCTGTGGCGGCGGCGTCGAGGCCGCTGAGGCGTGTCCCTCAGCGCTGGCTTCCCGGGGCCTGGTCATCTGTGCCTCCCCGGGTGGGCGGCCCGGCGCGCCTGGCGGCACCAGGAATTCAAGCCGCAGCTGCGGCTCCCTGAGGGCCGGGCTCTGGATCTCCTCAGCTGAGAAGGGTCGCGGCGGCTCCTCGCAGGCGTGTGGCGAGCTCGGTGCCGGTCTGTCAGCTGGGAACGGGCGGGGGTGGGGGGTGTTCCGCGAGCGTTTTGGTGTCATTATTACTGGTTTTATTAGCGCGCCTAGCAGGACGTTTAATAGGCTTTTTCCTGTTGCCCTGCGATTTACGAGCGGGTCACGGAGGCGGCCGGAGGCGGTCGGCGGCCCGCGTGAAGAGGGCCCGGAGCCCTGCCCGGCGGGGAGGTGCCCTCCACGTCTCGCTATGGTGGTGGAATTCACGGAGCTCCAGCCCAGAGAGGGTGAGGGATACTTCTGTAAATAGTCCCTTAGGAAACCTGGAGAAAATCAACTTTGAAAAGACTACATCAAAAAAATGAAGGGCAGAGCTAGCTTCCTTGGGGGTCCAGGGGCTAAGGGTCTCCCTTGCAATGCAGGGGACACCAGTTCAATCCCTGGTCCAGGAAGAGCCCACGTGCCATGGAGTGACTACCCCTGAGCGCGTCTCTGGAAGCTGGGGCTCCAACAAGAGAAGAGAAGCCCTCCTCCGCGGTAGAGAAAGCCTGCAAGCAGCAATAAAGACACAACCCAGCCAAAAATACATAAAATTTTAAAATAAATTTTAAAAAAAGGGCAGGTCGCAGACTGGGAGAAAATCAGCACTCATACCTGATAAAGGACTTCTATCCAAAACTCACAAAAAGTGTGTGGGTCACTCAGTGGTATCCAACTCTCTGTGACCCCATGGAGTGTAGCCCGCCAGGCTCCTCTGTCCATAGGGATTCTCCAGGCAAGAAGACTAGAGCGGGTTGCCATGCCCTCCAGGGGATCTTCCTGACGTAAGGATCAAACCCAGGTCTTCTGCATTTCAGGTGGATTCTTTACCATCTGAGCCGCCAGGGACGCTCAAATACACAAAGAACTCCCCTAACCCTGTAATGACACCGCAGAACAGGTGCTTCCCCAGGGAGGCTGTACTGATGGGAGGTGAGCGCAGCACGGGTGCACCCCCACTGCCTGCCATGAGGGAGATGCGGGCTCAGCAAGCCACCATTGGGCCACACGTCCTCTCAAGTGGTCGAAATTAGGACTGACCACAAAGTAATAATGAGGCAGAATGACTGGAATTCTCATGTCTTGGTGGCACTGGGCCTCCTCTTGTGACCAGACAATGGATCAGTCGCTTTGCAGGGCTTAGCCAGTGAACACCCCAGGTACTTTCTGTTAAAGCATTTCTTACTTGCGACAGGTAGGGAGACAGGAGGATAACTCTCTAGGGGAGTTAAGCGTGTGTGTGTGTGTGTGTACGTGTGTGCGCGCACGTGCATGTGCCTGTGTACATGTGTGTACGTGTGTGTGTGCACGTGCGTCTGTGTGCATGCTCAGTCGTTCAAGTCATGCCCAACTCTGCGACCCCATGGACTGTAGCCTACTAGGCTCCTCCATCCATGGAATTTCCCAGGCAAGAATACTGGAGTGGGGTGCCATTTCCTTTTCCAGGGGATCTTCCTGACTCAGGTATTAAACCCACTTCTCCTGCATTGGCAGGTGGATATTTTTGCCACCGAGTCACCTAGGAAGCCTGTTTTAAGCCTGGGGGACATGCATATTCTTAAGAGGGTAGGCCTGATCATTATAATAAGGCAGGGGTTCCTCCCATTTGCCAAAAACTGCAAGCAAGTAGGTACTTAACTGGTTGTTCAGGATGCAATATCTGACTGACTAGAATGCACCGTAACTTTTTGGGGACATCTGGTGTTTGGAACTTTCTGCAACTTAATCATCAGTTTCTGCAAAACAAAGCACACTTTGACTTAACCCCATCCTGTCCATTTAGAGCTGTCACTCTATGCCGTTTCCACCTGTGCCAGTTTTATTACCCTCTTTTTCAGTCTTTGGTTTTAATATCCCAAAGGCCAGCTCTGGTAGGGAGAACTCTAATGGCAGACACCACAGATGCCTCTCCCGCAGTCACTCAGTCAAACCCTGCTCTCCGCACAGCTGTGTAAGCCTCTGCAGGTGGAACGAGGGGTGGGATCGTCTTAACTGTAGAGGGGACAGCCCATCCTGGGTTTCTGAGTGGATGCAGTGGAATCACTGAACCCTTAGAAGCACAGCAGAAGGCAGCTGTGAGGCTTGGTGGAAGGAGGAGGTGCACAGGATCAGAGAGCCAGTGTCAGAGGGACTTGGCTGCCCTTTCAGGCCTGGAGGGGACAGTGAGCTAGGGAATACAGACAGTCTCTGGAAACTGAGCTGTCCACAGCCAGCAAAAAAAGAGGGATCGCCCTTGTGCAGCTATGTTGGGGGATTTCCCTGGGGGTTCAGTGGTTAGGACTCTGAGCTTTCACTGCAGCAGGCTGTGGGTTTGATCCCTAGTCAGGAAACTAAGATCCCACATGTCGAGCTGGGCTGTGCTTAGTCGCTCAGGCGTGTCCGACTCTTTGCGACCCCATTGACTTTAGCCTGCCAGACTCCTCTGTCCATGGGGATTCTCCAGGCAAGAATACTGGAGTGGGTTGCCATGCCCTCCTCCAGGGGATCTTCCCAACCCAGGAATCGAACTGGGAGGTCTCCCACATTGCAGGCAGATTCTTTACCAGCTGAGCCACCAGGGAAGCCCCAGAATACTGGAGTGGGCAGCCTGTCCCTTCTCCAGGGGCTCTTCCCGACCCAGGAAGCAAGCGGGGTCTCCTGCATTGCAGGCATGGCCAAAAAGAAAAATAATTTGAAATCTCACTTGGGGCACGGCAAGTGCCAGGTGAGTGTGCTTGCTGCTGCTGTCATCACCGCTCACAGGCTGGTGAACTTGTGTGGGTTTTGGTGCCGTGCTGAAGGTACCCGGGACACGCCCATCAGCCACTTGACAGGTAAGTTAAGAAGCTGAAGGTGGGAGACACTGGTGGGAGAGCCAGAGCTGGCTGGCCCCACTCCTGAGGCCGGGCTGAGAGCTTTGTGAGCCGGAGCCGGCCTCGGCAGGGGGTCACATGCGGTGCTGCCTGTGGGGTTCCCGGGCGAGGCAGGCTTGGCCTGTGTGGCGGCACCGTAGAGGAAACCAGGGATTCCCCCTGCCCCCCTGCACCAGAGCTTTGCCAGCCGCCAGGCCCCGCTCCTGTGCGGTGTCCTCTGAGCAGCCTCTCCACTGCAGCGGCCCCCTCTGACTTCCCACTGTGCCCTGAGGAACCCCCAAACACGGACTCCCCAGTCGGTCAACCAGCGGAGCACAGCGGCACGCTAGCTGGGGTGTCGGGCGCTCAGGTCCCAGGCTGCCCACGTTGAGCCCTCCCTCCACACTCCTGCTCCGTGGGGAAGGGGAGCTTTTCGGACTCCTGTGTCTGGAAGCGTGTCCTTTGCTGGCACAGGATGTTTGGGGAGTGACACCTCCCCTTCGACCTTGTGGACAGGACAGCAGCTGCCTGGCTTTGGACTTGATAACCTTCACCCCGAAAACAGCCCTACAGAGCCAGGGCCCCAGTGGGAGCCAAGCCCTCGGCTGTCATCACCCATCCCTGTCCCAGAAGCAGCCGTCTCCACGTGGCTCCCCAGCATATCCTGTCGGGTGGCCCCCTGCCCGGACCTCTGAAACGGTCGGCTGCTGAGTCCACAGCACAGGCCGAGCCAACTGCCCACAGCTAGCTTCCAAGCAAGATTTGCTTTTTATTCTATGCTTATGTTTTCAAGCCCCAAAGACTACTGGTTCCGGGAAGGACTGGGTCACTGTGCGACCTTGGGAAGGTCCCTTGCAGCCCAGAGAGGTCAGGGCTGTATGACTCCTGGCGGTGGTTCGTACCGCACCGCCCTCCTCATTGTGCAGGCACTCGGGGGCCAGTGCCCACTTCTCTGGAGGGTGGTGGTGAGGGTATGGTCCGTGCTGAAGGAGGGGAGCCCTGCTCTGTAGCGGGGTGCTAGGTTGCAGGCGCAGCCACTGGCCGAAGCCCCAAGGAAGCAAGGGAGGTCGTGGGCCAGCAGCCCCTCCTCCTCCTGAATTCTCCCTCGGCTTTGTTTGTATTTGTTGTTGTTTTCAATAAAGGTAACAGCTGTATTTGAGAAAAGAGTTGAGATTGTGAAGAATGAAGTCCAAGTTGGCCTGCCCTGCTCCAGTCCTCCCTGGAGGCTGCTTCCTGTTTACAGTTCTTACCTCCGTAAGTCGAAAACGCACACCTGTGTCTTTTTCTTTCCTGCCATGCCTGCAGCAGGTGGGGCCTTAGTTCCCTGAGCGGGGATGGAACCCCCATCCCCGCAGGGGAAGCACAGAGCGCTGGACTGCGGAGGAGGTCCCTTCCACATCTTGACTTCTCGGTTCTACCCAGGTTCTCTTGGCTCTGTTCCAGGAAGTCAGCACAGGCACTCTCGCAGCCTTACTTTTCACTCTCTGGGTCCAGTGCTTCCCAACAGGGCCCTCAGAGCACCTGCCTAAACGCAGCTGCCCAGGCCCCGGCCATGAGTATTGGGATTTGCGGTGGGATCTAGGAATATGCGATTATATAATCACCTCTCTGGCTAATTGTCACAT